ATTCCCGGTTCTGCAAACTAAGGGGGTCTAGAAATCCCTACAACCAACTTTGTTATTCAAAAGAAATATTACAACAATATTTCTATCACTCAACACTCTCATAAAACTCACACGCACGACCCGTTCCTACAACTCTCACATACAACATCAACTCAACTTCATTCCTATGCCCAATAGCCCCTTTCAAATGGCCAACCAACCCATTACCTATGCACTACTCACACACAAATAAGGCATCCAAACTTTATTTATAGAACTTGTGAACCGCCCTTCTATAAGGCTCACAGTGATCAACGTAAGCTACTCATTTCCACCGAGTAAAAAGGGACGGTTCATTTAACCGAATATCCTAGAGGGAGAGAGAAAAGATGGAAGGAAACCAGAGAGGGTGAGATGAGTTGGCGGTCTTGCGTGTTGCTCTCCACATTGCATGTAAAATAGAACTTTGGAAGAAAAAAAAACACTAAGGTCCTAGTTGATGGGAATGAGCAGAATACACAATAAAAGGAGTTATATTTTCCCAAACTTGTCTTCCTTCTTCTATCATATTCTCCAAATTTCCCACTGCTCTTTCTCAAGCTCACTTTTTCTATTGCGTAAGGATCCACGATAAGAGAGGCTGTTACCTCATTGAATTGGGGTAGGAGTTCCTTTTGGGGATTTGGAGGGGTGGCTTGCTATGGTTTTGGAGCAAGAAAGTAACACAGGAGTAACAAATCTTTTGGTCATAGAAAACATACTTGTAAACACCCTAAACTTTGTTGTACTAGAAGAAAATTAATTCTAGTAAAGGAAAATTATACGAAGATATCATTTATTTTTTATACAAGAAGGTCACTAGTATGTTAGTTGCTACAAAAAAAAAATGTAATTTGATGATTAGTTGTTATATTTTTAAATCTTTTTACTATTTTTTAGGGTTATGAAGTTACAAGTATGTTATTTTTAAAGGTGCGGTCTGTATAAAGCCTAGGCTCTAAACAATCAAATTAGAGCCTATCTTCAAATAGTGTCGAGAAATGTGGTTTCAATATTGGAAATCTTTGTGATAGCATTAAAGTATATTTTTGTATTTATTTATAAAGTTTTAAGCTTAAAAAATAGTGTAGATCAACAGATCTATGAAAAGTTGAAAATCTTGAAAATTGACAGTTAAAAAATGCAATTTGGGCATCAAAACGACCTCTTATAGTGAAGTTTTTGAGGTAGGCTCAAATTTAATTGTTTAGAGCCACGGCTCTATGTAAACTTTTCCCTATTTTTAATAAAATAATGTGATATGATACATTAGCTTTAATTCTCCTTTTCCGAGAGCATTAATAAATTTTAATTTTAACAAAGAATTTCAAAATATTAAAAGCTCTTCAAAACTAATCTTTTGTTTCCCTATCTCCTCGACCTTTTTCTTGCTAATCTATGTGGTCTTTCTATTTTAAAATATATTTTATTACTATTTTATAAATTTTTAAATATATAAAGTGATGTCATCCATTATTAGATTAAAAAAAATGAAAAAACTTAGTGTTTTTTTTTCCAGAGCATCACTTTATTTTTTGTATTCTGTTTTTTTTTTCTTAGGGTTTAAAGGATTACATATTTGTTATGTTCTATTTTTTTTTGCTCCTGAGTATTGTTTATGATTGTTTTTAATGTCTTATAATTACTAACATATCATTATTATTTGGAATAGTACTTTTGAATTTTTTTTGTCTTATAATTACTAACATATAATTATTACTGGGAACAGTAATTTTGAATTTGTTTATTCTTTTATGGGATTCTTGAGTCTTTGTATTTTATTTCTGAATATCCATAAATTAATAATGAGTTTGCAATAGTTGAAAAAAAGATTAAATTTTTATTTTTTATAAAACGATTAATGTTTTAGCTTTTGAAGGTGTCAACCTTATGTGATAGAAGTCAGGTGCACCTCAAAATCTCATAGGAAACGATTGTTTTAACACTACAAAATCCTCTAAATGATTATTTCATAACTTAAGTTAAATGAATACGAAGTCTTAAAAATAATGCATCGAACATGTTTTTATGGACCGTCTATTTTCAAGATGTTAAAGTGCTTAAAATCCTGCGTGACCTATATCTAATTTGATAACCTAAAAGTTTGCAAAATAAGAATTAAACCGCACCTTGCTTAGAATGTTTAAAGTTGACACCTTCTATAAACTGAATCGAGAGCGCCTTATGCAGATTGTTTAAAGTTGAAACCTTGTATGAACTGAATAGAGAGAGAGACAGAGAGGTAAGGGAAAAGATTAATTAAACTTGAGAGACCAACCTTCAGCAACCTTCAACAAATAGGGCGCCGATCTCTTCCTTTTCATTTTTCCCTCTCTTAAACCCCCTTTCAATCTCCTCTTCCTTACTCTCTTTTCATTATTGTTACTTTGCCTACTGTTTTTTTTTCAATCTCATGTCCTCTCTCCTCTCTATTATCTTTTATTTTGTTTCTTATCTTAGCATTTTCTTTGGGGGCTTTTTTTTCTCTTTTCATCTCTCCTTCATCCCTTCTACCACCCATTCCCTTTCCCGTTCATCTTCAATCGTTTTCTCTGCCCTTGACTATACTCTCACATCACATCACATCAGTAGATTAACACCCAAGACGAGATTTTCCCCTCTCTTTAGGGATCAATATTAATAATCTACCCAAGATGAGATTTCCCCTCTATTTAAGAATCAATATTATGTCATTCTTTTTTCTCAAACCTTGATTTCTTGTCGTATATCTGGCTGTTTAGGTTAATACCTGAGTTAGGGCTTGGCCGTTCAAAAGGCTTCATTGTTTTCACCTTCCGTGTTAGGGGCTTGAAGTTCCTACAAGTAGAAAGATACAATTTTTTTTAAGGAGTTGTCGAGTTGGCTTCCTCCTTTTGTTCCCTCCTCTCTTCTGCATTTTACTTAGACTGCCTCTCATTTTTCCCTTTTTTTTTGTTTTTTTTGAGTACAGACTTTTCCCGTCTCTCTCTCTCCCTTTTAGCATTTGACCAATATTTTGTTCTCCATTTGACATCGTCTTGTACGCGGCCATGCTTTTTTTGTTTTCTTTTAGGTGCCATTTCAATTATGCGTCGGGTCAACCCCAACATGTGAGGTCATTGCAAAAGGGAAGGCAATTATGGGGTATCTACTTGAGTTGGTTGGGTTGGGGGTAGAAATTCTATACTGGATGTCTTCGAAAGTGCTCTCTGAAGTTTAGTTGGGGTCTTAAGGAGTTGGTGGTATATAGGGTGTCTACTCGAGTTGATTGGGGAGTCGAGATTATGCGGTGGATGTCTTTGAAAGTGCTTGGTTCAAGTCTTAGACCGTAGGTGGTGTAGGTGTTTATGTTGTGTTTGGAAGTCAAGGCGAGCCAGAGAGAGAGGGAGATTTGTGATTAGCTTGAGGTCGTGGACTCGTGGCTTTAAGCTGGTCGACCGTGGTTATCGGCCTTTTAACTCCAATGTCAAAAGTTCCAAACAAGCACAGGTTATTAACTAGTTCACAAGAAAATCCATCTCGGTCTTTCCATATTCACCACGGCATGCAATCACAAAATGGCATTCAGCTACCATTTACTACATATTGCTTGGTATATTTATTAGGGTTTTGACCCAATTCGAGTCAGTCGTGTATTTGCCAACGACAAATATAATATTGACTAGATTTCATAATATTAAATGTTCATTTCACATGTCGTGAGCTAATGAATAAAAGAAAACACCACGAAATCGAAAACCAAAAGACACTTTATTCTGGCAGGATTAGAGTGTTCATTTACTCCCTCAGGTTAACTCCACTTAGAATTAATTTTAAGACCCTTAACCTTTTCAACACGTAGATTAACTTAAATAATTTTTTCCTAAGTGTACCTTCTATATACTTGAAAAAAGTAATGTCTTGAGATCATTAGGCAATGAGATATACCTGTTAGAAAATTCAAATTTTAATTTTTTTTGAGAATAAGCATCTAGTGATTCTAAAGTGGTTCAAAATTTCAGATTGAGAAAACACTCACTAGCATATCTTCTGGCTGAGGGAGTAGAGGTATACTATCCTCCTGAGGGAGCAATAAAATCAATTTTAGCATTTTCAATCATTGATATTTAACAAAGATAAATTATCCATTGGAGAAGTGCACAGACGGCGCTCTTTCAATCTTCACCGTCCGATCAAAGAGCACCTAACCTTAATCTTTGGGGATCCTCAATGCGAAATGCATGTTCAGCTACAGTAATTAAAGTGACTGATTAGGCCCTTTGCATAACATAAGTTAAACCATTCGGGGTAACCGAAATTTTACCGAAATCATCGAGCTATATTCCCGCCACTACCCGAAATGCCGGTTGGCTTGGATGACAAGCCGAAATTTTGACGAAACCGTGATTTTCTATCCCCATGTTTCGGCCGAAACTCAAACGTACTTTTTGGGTCATGGTTTACGAAATCTTTCAACGAAATTTCGGCTATATTACGGTTAGGGCAAGCGGGCCCTTAATACCAAGGAAAATAGTTTGATAGGGCTGCAGCCTTATCAAAATAAGTAAAACTTCACTTAATAACTCATGTAATTTGAAAACCTCTACATGGATCGACTTGAGCATTATGTTTGAAAAAATTTTAGATTTTAAACTCTAAAAAAAGCGTATATTTTAACAAATTATTAAGACTGTACATTTCGCCCCAAAAATAAGTGTTAAACAATCCACAAGATCTATAAGTTTGGAGTTTCAAATTTTTATTGGTAGCTTTGAAAATTGATTTTAGAGCCATCATGAGATTTCCGTGCCAAATTTGTTTTTATACGAGGATTTAACGTGAGGCTTTATTTGGTTTTTCCTATAGCCTAGGCCTTATAGAAACTTCATCACATTAAAAAAAAAAAGTCGTCAATGGGGCGCAACAAGGAACATCACGAAATTTCGGCAAACTTTCGTTCATGGCTGGATGGTTCATAAAACCCTAAGATGCATTATACGATAGACTTTGCCCTAAATCCACAAACCATTTTCCTGGAAAAAATACAGTCCAAATCAATCAGATTTAAAAATCAATTTTACGGCTCAGATTTCCCGAGATAGAAGGCCCTGGCTGATCCTGACTCTTCATACGAGAGATTCGAAATCTGAACCGTTGAGTGGAATCCACCTCCACGTAGCCGGTGGATTTTTCTAATAATTGTCTTCTTGTTTCTTCTTCTTCTCTCTGTTCTCTGTTCTCTGTTCTCTCTTCTCTATCTATATCTCTCTCTCTCTCTCTCTCTCTCTCTCTCTCTCTCTCTCTCTCTCCCCTCTTTTTCTTTGCTCGAGGGTTTCTGCGCTCTCGACTACATCTTCTCTCTTTCTCATCCGTCGATCTCCGGAATCGGCCGCTTAGATTTTAACTACACAGTCCAGGTACTGCTCAATCCAAATTTGTTGCTTCTTATTTTAGTGATTTTTTGCGCTTTTTTACATTTTCTTGGTCATTGATCTACTGGATTGGCAATCACTTGTTGAAAATTAGGGTTTTTTATTGATCTGTTGTATCATCGCACAGTTTCAATCTAGGTTTTGTTTTTTCCTCTCTATACCTTTGTCACTCCTACTGACTGATTGGCAACTTGATTTAGGTTTTGAGTAATTTAAGATCACACGTCTGGGCAACTTAGGGTTTCCAAACACTTTTAAATTTCCTTTTTATTTTTTAGGTTGAAATTACAAAGTTAACTCTCTCTCTCTCTCTCTGACGTGGATTGGAAATTTCTCAGTTTTGTGTACTCGGAGATGTTGCAGGAAGTATCTGATCTATATTACATTTTCTCTCTGTTAAAGTTTTGGTTTCCAGGCCTTTAGGGTTTGAATTTGTGTTGGTAATTCTGAGTTTTGGGCTTCTATAAACTTCATTGGATCATCTGATTTCTGGTCGCATAAAGAATTGAAACTGTAGTTATGCAAGTCCTTCTTAATTCTCAGTTGGTCGTCTGTTAACACGAGGAAGGATGCTGGATAATGCTTTTAGGGTTTTCTTTTTTATTGATCTAGTGTTTTTACCCAGTTGAAAATTAGGGTTTTTGCTTGTTGCCAGTATTTATGAAGATTAGTTTAGGATTTGCCTGCCTTTATGAAGATTAGTTTAAGATTTGCCTACGTTTAGGTGTAAGCAATAACTGAATCCTTTAATGTTTTGGGTTAGATCAGTATAATAATGTAATTACCTTCATGTTTACATGCTTTGGGATGATTGAGGATGCCTTTTTTCTGTATCTGGAAAAAAAATTGACAGGTTGAAGTACTTTTGCAAATTATTCAATCGAGATACTGATATAGTGTGTATTTGGTTCCCTTGAATTTCTTGCTTTTCATTGATTAGGGTTGAAATTTATGCTGGCTATCCTTTTCTTTTTTACTTTTATTGTGTTTGGTTGGATCTGTTCTTTGGTGGATTTTTTTTTCTTTTGTTATCTGGCTAATCGGGGTTCCAATAAGCAGGGCAAATCTATGACAAAAATGCTGTATTTTTCGCTATAATTGAATTCATTTAGATCTGTTTTATGTTGGGTTCTTGCCATAAAAAAATGTTTTTGACTGTTGATTATAAGATTTTTCTCTATAACTTGGCAGTGGCTTTCATTGGTTTGATTGCATCCCCTTTGTTTTTTTATTTTTATGAACAGAGGGGTCATGGCAATGGAAGTTACCCAGATTCTTCTGAATGCACAATCAGTGGATGGAAAAATTCGTAAGCACGCAGAAGAAAGCCTGAAACAATTTCACGACCAGAACCTCCCTGGCTTCCTGTTCTCTCTCTCTGCCGAATTGGGAAATAATGATAAACCAGTTGAGAGCCGCAAACTGGCTGGCCTGATCCTCAAGAATGCCTTAGATGCGAAAGAGCAATTGAAGAAAGCTGAATTAGTTCAGCGATGGCTCTCTCTTGACACAACTGTGAAAGCCCAAATCAAGGCCTGCCTTTTGCAAACTCTTTCTTCCTCGTCGTCTGATGCTCGATCCACCGCCTCACAAGTTATAGCAAAGATTGCGGGCATTGAATTGCCCCATGATCAATGGCCCGATCTCATAAGATCCCTCCTCTCAAACATGGGCGGCCCCCAAGTTCAGAGCCCACCCCATCTTAAGCAGGCCACTTTGGAAACGTTGGGTTATCTTTGTGAAGAAGTTCCTCCTGAGGTTCTCACTCAGGAACAAGTGAATTCCGTACTAACAGCTGTGGTTCAAGGGATGAACTCTTCTGAAGGGAACAATGAGGTGAGGCTCGCTGCAACGAGAGCCTTGTATAATGCTCTTGGATTTGCTCAGACCAATTTTGAGAATGATATGGAGAGAGACTACATAATGAGGGTGGTTTGCGAGGGAACACAATCCAGTGATATGAAGATTAGGCAGGCTGCCTTTGAGTGCTTGGTTTCGATTTCATCGACATATTATGATAAGCTTGCTTCCTATATGCAAGATGTATTTAATATAACTGCAAAGGCTGTGAAGGAGGACGAGGAGCCTGTTGCCCTCCAAGCTATTGAGTTTTGGAGCACGATATGTGATGAAGAGATTGAGATTTTGGAGGAGTACGGTGGTGATTTTAGTGGGGACTCTGATGTCCCTTGCTATTATTTCATCAAGCAGGCGCTCCCTGCCTTGGTGCCTATGCTCTTGGAGACTTTATTGAAGCAAGATGAGGACTATGACCAGGATGAAGGGGCTTGGAACTTAGCAATGGCTGGTGGTACATGCTTAGGCTTGGTGGCCAGGACTGTAGGGGATGACATTGTCCCTCTGGTGATGCCTTTCGTTGAGGAGAACATTACAAAACCCGACTGGCGTTGCAGAGAGGCTGCCACTTATGCTTTTGGGTCAATCTTAGAAGGCCCCTCACCTGATAAGCTGACACCTCTAGTGAATCGAGCATTGGGATTTATGCTCAACGCTATGAAGGACGAGAACAACCATGTGAAAGATACAACTGCTTGGACCCTAGGAAGAATCTTTGAGTTTCTCCCTAGCGCTTCAGTTGGGGAGCCTATAATTACCCAGGCTAATTTTCCCCATACCCTTTCAGTCCTGATTGAGAGCATGAAGGATGCACCAAATGTTGCAGAAAAGGTTTGTGGGGCTCTCTATTTTCTTGCTCAAGGCTTCGAGGACATGGGTTCAGGGTCCTCTCCTCTGTCTCCGTTCTTCCAAGACATTGTCCAGGCCCTCATTGCCACTGCCCATAGAGATGATGCAGGGGAGTCTCGGCTTCGTACCTCAGCTTATGAAACTTTGAATGAGGTCGTGAGGTGTTCTAGTGAGGAAACTGCTCCTCTAGTTGCACAGTTGGTCCCTGTGTTTCTCATGGAGCTTGGTCAGACTCTTGAGAACCAGAGGCTCTCATCTGAGGAGAGAGAGAAACAAAACGAGCTCCAAGGCCTTCTTTGTGGGTGCTTACAGGTTATAATACAAAAGTTGGGATCTCTTGAATCAACCAAGTTTGTTATCTTGCAGTGTGCTGATCAAATGATGGCTCTCTTTTTAAGAGTCTTTGCTTGCCGAAATGCCACTGTCCATGAGGAGGCAATGCTTGCCATTGGTGCTCTGGCCTATGTGACGGGGCCTGATTTTGCGAAGTATATGAAGGATTTCTACCCTTACTTGGAAATGGGTCTTCAAAATTTTGAAGAATACCAGGTGTGCTCCATCACTGTTGGGGTTGTTGGGGATATATGCCGGGCTTTGGACGATAAAATTCTTCCATTCTGTGATGGTATAATGACCCAGCTTCTTAAGAACTTGTCGAGTAACCAACTTCACAGGTCTGTGAAGCCCCCCATATTCTCATGCTTTGGTGATATTGCTCTGGCTATTGGGGAGAACTTTGACAAGTACTTGATTTATGCGATGCCAATGCTTCAAAGTGCGGCAGAAGTCTCCTCTCAGCCAACGAGTGCTGATGATGAGACAATTGAATATACCAACCAGTTGAGGAATGGGATTTTGGAGGCATACTCTGGGATTTTCCAGGGCTTCAAGAACTCTCCAAAGACTCAGGCGTTGATGACTTTTGCTCCTCTCGTTCTTCATTTCTTGGAGAGCATATATTCAGAGAAGGACATGTGAGTTTTTCTGCCTTATCTCCTCTTATCTATCTACCTATACATCTCTATCTCTCTGTATCATGGACTCGCAAATACAAATGTACCCATGCACACACATACATATATATGCACATGTATGTTGCATGGTTTGGATTCTGCCCTTGGCAGAATCTGAAACAAGGCTAGTGTCCCTTTCAGAATGTTTTTTTTTTAACTGTTTTCCACATTCTCCCTGTATCTTAGAAATAAGTTGAATTAAATTGTGATAGAAAGTTCAACTGGTACTTACCAAATTCCTGCATCATTCTCTGTTTTCCTTAATTTTCTATTTTCTTTTTGATATGAAATCTTAGTATGGCCAGAAATACAGAAGTTTGGATTTTTCAGTGCTAAAACAATGGTGATGGTTAAACTGACTGAATACCTTAGCCTTTATTTTACCTTTCGATAATGGTTTGCTATCTGTTTATTAAATTTCAACAGGGATGACACTGTCACAAAGGCAGCAGTTGGTGTGTTAGGAGACCTGGCCGATACATTAGGTTCTAGTGCGGCTCCTCTATTGCGACAATCAGTATTTTGCAAAGACTTTGTTGAGGAATGCTTGTCATCGCATGATCATCTGATCAAGGAAACTGCCGAGTGGGTCCAAATGACAGTGAGCCGAGTTGTTTCAGGTTGATGCCATCATATGCTATGTATCCATAGAAGTCCATGCATATGGGTGTGTTGAGTCGGGTGATGATTGCATGCATGTGTGAAGGTCATGGGAAGTGTCAGAAGTCCCTTGTGGGGTTCAAGTTGGGTTTTTTTCAAGAAGAAGTGGGGTGCTAGATCGCAAACCCCCTAGTGTACCATTTGCTATATGAAGCTGAAAAGGGAGGAGCGGCATTGTTGAATGTCTTGTAGAGGGAGAAAGAAGCCACCCGTGTTCTTGAGAGGGGTACAGGTATGCAACTTCTAGCTGCAACCTTGGCCATGTATATCTCTCTTCATAGAAGAAGAGGTCTCGTTTATATGGAGGTCGGGTCATCTCCTTTTTTTTTTATGATTCTTTTTACAAGGGGCAAGTAGCTGGCGGGTATTTCCTGGGCGCCAGAGATCGATGTCATCCAAACGGTTGATTTTTAGTTGTCAGAGACCAGTTACTGAGTGGGTAAAAAATTCATATTTGTTCCTCAAAATCCTTTGCATATTTTGAAATTTTGTATCAGTCTTGCATTTTTTATCCTTTGTCTTGTCAAGGTCTGTCCTGTGTTTCTTCTCTATAATGGTTATAATTTAAGCTCCAAAATTTGAGTCTCTATATGCTCTTTCACTTCTAATTATGTTCTGCACTGTTTCTGTTCTTATTTATAGTATAATTTGGATTCCTCATATTTTACAGGTTGTAGAACTGGTTTAGTTCAAAATTCTCATAATGATATGTAGAGTTAAATATGACTGCATTGCCAGTCCACCCATTGGAGTTGCTAAAATGTCGATATAGTACCCCTCTACCTTCCATCTGTCATATGCAGGGCTTGAAACCCCCAGAAAATATCACCTGGTTCCATATACATTTGAGGAGTGCGGTCTAGTTTCTTGCATCTTTATTTAGTCAGCAATAGACAAACAATCAGTTTAGGATTTGCTTTGGTTGTACTTTAAATCATTCCTCTTTCTTTATTTGGGTATCTCTTTTGTGTGTGTGTATGTGAGAGAGAGAGGGAGAGAGGAAAGTGGCATAAGTTAGTTTGAAAGTTTGGGAGATGCTTTGGCAATATGTACTTTGCTCTATGGCTTTTGGTAAGCTTGTGCCCCGGTAACATTGAGCTATCATTCTCAGAGTCCTGCTATTTAGCTTTGCATATCATCCTTCCATCTTATAAATGTGTATTTGAATTTCAAATTGCCTTGTCGAACTTCAAGTCCTTATAGTGCTCTTGTTCACATGAACATAAACAACTATGTAGTGGGTCAGCATTAGTTACTCAGGTTCTACTAGAATTCCCGTTTCCACACTGGTTTGGCTGGGTTGATATTATGCCTCACTCATTTGCGGATGTGGGGTGATGATATTATCTCTCGAGAAACTTTTGTGTGTTCTTGATCTAGGTCGCAGTTTCAGATTTTTGATGCTGGTTTGCTTGAGCCAGGTTGATGGTAATGTTATCTGTCTAGAAGCCCCTTATGCTGCAACATTTTCTAGCCTGAATTCAGGCTCAGAACTACGTTGAGTTTAACATTTTGGTGGGTTGATGCATCCTAATCGTTCCTAATCAATTGTGGTCTACTTCAAAAATCCATCTTAGAGATGGATTTTGGAATCAAAATTTTACAAGTTACCTTAGACCGCAATGATTGTGAATACGAACAACGATTATGAAAATGAAAAGAATAGGACTTTGAACTTCTAAATAGACTGCATTTGAATTTAGTTTTAAGATTGCTGATAACCTTTTATTTTAATTATTCACATATCAGCAGGTCTGAATTAAGTTTTGAGCTGCAAAATCACGGTTCGAAAGTGTAAATGTTTCTAAAGTGACTTAGGATGTGTTTCAGATCATAAATCCATCATCAAACTGGATTTTTGGAAGCGAAGTGCATTTGAGTAGGATTTTCGCTGGACTTTTCCAGTTATGAATTTTATCCTAGACTTAATTATTGGAATCAATTTAGTTTTTTAATTTATTTTTAGAATGAAAAATGTAGGAAATGGCATTCAGGAGATTAAAACTATTTAAACACAAAAGGGCAAAAGCAACCACAAGCATTGCTTTAGGTTTTTTTTTTCTTTTGTGTTGAAGTAAAATTTCATTGAGTGAATGAAAATGGATTCCCTACAAAGAGATCATTTATCTTTTGTAGATAGAGGGCATAATCATTCTCACTCATTAGTTGTTACATTCGATGGTTTGGGGTGAGTCATGAAGTTTGAAATTTTTTTTTTATAGAATGGTGTGTCTATTCAATGGTACTCTTACAACCACCCGTTTTGAAATTTAATGGACAACGATGATTGTGATTTTCTTGTACAAAAGATAAATGGTTTCTTACATACAATCCCGAATGAAATAGTTATATGTAGAATTAAAGAAAAATGAGAGTGAGAATGACGATACAACATCAGAATTTTAAAATTGAAATGTTATTGTGGAGAACAATCTGGGCGGGCATCATGGAAAGGGCGTAATCGGAGAATCTTTGAAGATTTTACCATAAAATCTAATATCCTAGTAGTAGTGGCTGACCGGAATTCTGTTGCCGTAGACTTCAAATTTATACCTTGAAACCAAATCCTTTTAGACCCTTAGGAAGTATGAAAGAAAATATTGTACCTTGCTCCCCTCCACCTTAAGGAAGTATTAATCTAAACTTTTGACTGTTGTTCTTTTAAGAACCCTGGGCTGGCTGATTTTGGGGGAATTATAAGAGAACAAGAACAAAAATATTCTTCTCATATTTTGGGCCTTGTGGGTCAGCCAGAGTGAATAAGGCAGAAGCCGGGGGCCTTTTTGGAGGGGCTCGTAATTATTTTGAGTTTGGGGTGGCATAAGATTATTGAAATCACCTCTGCCAATGTGGTTGGTTGCCTGGGCTAAAGGGGAGGCGAGAGTTCCTTGGAAGTTGGCTTCAATTTTTTGAGGAAAATAGAGCGTTATTAGCTGATTTCTATGTTGAGCTTCGCCATTGAGAGGCTAACTGTGAAGCGGATTTTTTTTGGCTAAAAGTTGTGTACACCAATCATCGTTGGTGGCCACTAACATTTCCTAACTGTTGTATTTCTTCTTCTTTTTTCCCTTGTATCTCTTCTTTTGATTCTAGTAAAGTGTTAACATTCAAGAAAAAAAAATCTAGTTAAGTGTTGAACATTCAAGAAAAAAGAAGCTAGCCAGAGAAAACGAGAGACATAAGGAGAGAAAATAAAAGTAAAAAGAAAATAAAAAGATAAAAGAAATAAAGAGGTTAGCAAAGAAAAGGTCAACAAATGAGACCTCTGAGTAACTTCTTTTGCTGGAGCATCCGCAACACTATTTTTCTCCCTATTAACATGAGAAAAAGAAATTCTTTTCCCTATTAACGTGAGAAAGAGAAATCTCCATCCGTGTCAAACGGAAAAGGATTTCGTCCATCAATGATGCCCCAATCCAGGGATTGCATTAGGACATTTACACCAGCCTAGTTGAGTCTCTTACTATCGAGTGTCTCTTAGCAATCTTCTTTTGCTAAAGCATCTGCAACACTATTTTTCTCCCTATTAACATGAGAAAAGAAATTCTTCTCTTTATTAGCATGAGAAAAATAAATCTTCATCCCTACAAAACGGAAAAGGATTTCGTCCATCAATGATGCCCCAATCCAGAGGTTGCATTAGGA